GTTTTCTAATAGCCTCGAAAAAACGGGGCTTCAAATAATGATTTTTTCCTGGATACTTATGCAATTAAAATTTTTCTACAGAGGTGTGTTTTTAGAAAAATTTTAATTGCATAAGTATCCAGGAAAAAATCATTATTTGAAGACCCGTTTTTTCGAGGCTATTAGAAAACTTGCTCAAAATCCCTGAAAAACCAGTTTTGTAACCAAAAGTAATACAGATTCTGGAGGTAGACACTTCAGGCTATCTTTCCATGTGTGTATTCCAAAACCGATTTTTTGACCGAAAATCACCATTTCTGAGGGGCCCTTAATATGAATGAAATCGATAGAACAAACTAATATATCGCATTTAAGGGGTATAAGAATAGAATTTTGATGATAAAGCATATACTTTTTTAATAAATATATTCAAGAAATAAAATTGTGTTGAATGAAAAAAAAGATGTTAGATTGCGTCGTTGATGAAATGACGTGGTGGGATTCGAACCCACGTACCTTATCAGGTAAAAGTTTAGCAGACTTTCGACTTAACCACTTGTCTACACGAAGGAATCAACAAACTTAGCTAACATACATTGAAAGAGTATGAAGTTATATTTTTTACAGTTTAATTTATAACGTTGAGTAATTACGTGAGTAATTGTGTTTCTTTCAATTTGCTTGCTATTCACTACAATAACAAAGTGTAGGTTATTTTTAGTGAAAAATACCACTGTGCATTGATTTATTTTTTGAACACAAACGACGCACTTTACTTTACTTTTCTTATTTTTATTTTTATTGTTGGCGTTTCGAAAGTATACACGGACAGAATCCAGGCTTCCCATGGCATCAAAATTTTGGACCTTGATCTCTGGAAAACTCTTAAACCGTAAGACTTGGAGACAAAAAAGTTTTTTCATTTCCGTAACTCATTGTGCTGAACATTTGTGGAAAGTTTCGTCAAGATCGGATGTACGGTGTACGGAGATAATTTCTGAGGGGGGGGGTGGGCGCTTAAGTAAGATCAGTTTCGACTGCACATATATATGTGGGCGTCCAAACTCCAATTTTGTCCGATCTAGGATGGACCCGGGATGTTTCAGATCAATCATTGGCCTACTCATTTTTTATGTTCAATCCCAGATTGATCTAGGCCAATCTCAGTTTGAACGCTAACCGTTTTTTCCTTTTAGCTCCAAATAGTAGTTCCAAGGAAAGACCGTCTACGTTCATTCACATTGATCCTGGCTCCTTGAAGCTACTATTTGGATCTAAAAGGAAACAATGAACACTGACATATATACACATTTGTTTTTTGAAATTTGTTCTGTCACTCACTATATATTACAATTACAATTCAGAACTGTTTATTTTCTTTTTCAAAAAATACAATACAAAAGAAAAAGCTATATATTTGACTGTTATATCTGAATACGAAAAAAGCAAAAGAAAGCACAGCATATGACTTTGACTATGACTCTAAATTTTTGTTTGATGATCACACAAAACTTACACATTAAAAATTGAACTATGTGCTCAAAAGGGTAATAGGACAATTATTTAAAGAGCAATTATTCACATAGGTATAAACAAACAAAACTATACGTAAATTTTTTGGAAAAGTAGAATTATTATTATTACGTATCAGGAAGACAAAACAAAAGGTGAATTTATTAGATCAAAACCCGAAGATTTTCCCATTAAAAAAGCATGAATATCACAGAACGATGGTCGCCGAAAATCTTCTCGCTGCCAACATTCACTCATTAGATCATAGACTTCTTTTGTACAAATTGCGGGTTGTGGAAGCGGAATAAAGTTTAATGGTGAGTAATTATTTAGTAGAGGTTGAAAATGATTTAACGGTGGCGGCAAGGGTGGAATGGGTGGTGGAAGTATTGGCGAAGGTGAACAACATATATCTAATGATGTATTTGTTGATAATGCTAATTGTTCGACAAGTTGTTCATTTGTTAAATGATTGTAAGGCCTTGTTTGAGCATATGTAAAAATTTCCCATAAGGTAACAGAAAAACTCCACACATCTGTCTTTGTTGAGAATTTACCCTAAAAAACAACATATCATAGAAAAAAAGTTATATTTTTATCTTTTTCATAATAATCAGAACACTCACTAAGAACAAACTTTCCCATGCAGCCCATCGAACTGCAATTTTTGCTTTGTATAAACCCAATTTGGCGTAATCATTTGTAAAGTTTGAACAACCCATAGCTGTATCTGTTAGTTTAATTGTATAATTTGATCCAACAAGACAATTTCGACATGCAAGATCACGATGAACAATATTCAGTGTTTCAAGATATTTCATAGCAGATGCAATTTGCATACTTATGTACAATAGTTTACCGTGACATAATGATGTAGGATTATTTAATCTCAAGTAATGATATAAATCTCCAAATTGTGCATATTCAAACACACCGACTGTTCGTTGATTACTAGTACCAATTAAACAACAAATATTTTTATCATGTAACAACGAGTGAAGTTCCAATTCTTTCCAAAACAACATTCTAAATGCAACAAAAAAATAAATAAAAATCATGTATCACATACGAGCGAAAATATTTATCAAAAACTTAAGATAAAATTGACTTACCTAGTACTTTCATCTGCATCATGTTTTATTGATTTGATTAAAACTGTTTGAGTTTTATGTTGTTGTTGATCATTTGATTCACGTAATTCAGCAATATGAATATCACCAAAGAGTCCACCACCAATTTTTTCTATAAATCTAATATTTTCAGATGATATCGATGATGATGGTACTGTTCCTGTTGAATTTGAATTAATTAATTTAATCGCATTATTCATCATTGTACAATTTCCACAAACACCTTCAAGTGGTATTAAACTTGTTTCATGAACACATTTTCGTTTTAGTGTTGTAATATTTGAACTCATATTTGCGTGATTTCGATGATGAAGATGATGATGCATGCAATGTTGATTTGATGGCAACATTGTCATACAAGTATTTGTCATCGATGGATCGTTCGAACGAACCAAACGTGGACTACATGTGTAAGAGGAAGAAGAATGGAGATGATTTGCATGTGATTTTGAATGTGGACTACGAGAAAATGTTGAATAATAACCGATATCTGGAACGGCGTATTCACGATCACCATCACTAAATTTTGGATCATGAAATTCACGTATCTGTAATGTCGGATAAGCATAAGAGGCGTTAAATGGTTTTTCAGTTAATCTAAAATAATAAAAATTCTAAATTAATAATTATATACGATTTTTGGATGAAAGAGTGTCAGATATCAGAGAACTCCAATGATCTTGATTTCTGTAGTAGAGATATGATTCATATGCTGTCATTTTTTTGTTATTCCAATTGTTATGGATGTAGTTGAAATAAATCTAACTAATTTAAATCAAATACATACTTTTGAAATTTAAGCTTTTTCTTTCGTCTAATAATCCATACAATTGATGCTAATAGTAAGAGACCAATAGCTAATGATATTCCTATAAAGAAGGCGATGGATAATTCAGAGCTAACCAATTGTGAAAATGATGTTGTTTGTTCTAAAACTGGACTATTCGTTGATAATGCAACAACGTCACGATTTTTTTTTCGCACTTCAATATTTTTTATTTCGTCTAAAAATTCAGCATCTGGTTGACCTACAAAATGTCAAAATTAATAATTATATTTTATCTATAATTTCTAAACAGCAGGTCTACACACCAGTGATTTTTTTATTTGATTTTACTTTGTCAAATGTTTCATTTTTAATCACTATTATTGGCTCATTATGTATAATTTCTTTTTCGTCAATGATCGAATTTTGAATTTGTGAATCAAATGTCACTTCACTAATGAGAATCCATGATGAATCAAAATATAAATCCATTCTTACAAATTTTGCAATATTATTTTTTAAATCAATAATAATTGGTCTAGCTAGATCAAAATTTTCATCACGACGATGATGAAATGCTAATGCATTTGTAAAACTAATACCATCTTTACTAAATGATAATATGCACGTTTTGAAAACAAGTATTTGTCGATGAAAGTCATTATTCGAATGAATTGTGACACGATTCATTTGTCTCAAATAATCAAATTCAAATGTAATTGTAATATAGGCATGAGTGTCATTGTGCCATCCCACCTAGAAAAAGCAATCAACCCACAGTCAAGTAATATAAACATTTTTAGTATTAACAAGTGACATACCCATGGTAATCCTCCTCCTCGTTCCGATGAAATATCATCTGAACCCATGATACCATCAGATAATTGTCCCAAACCACCTAAAACACAAAATTAAATTTATTAAGTATTTACAATCTTTTATCTAACAATTGAAATTTACCTGTCAATAGATCACTTTTTTCTGAATATAATCCGTCATAACTATCATCACCAAGATTACTCGAATTCATTTTACCTTGAGGCATCGAATATGAGACAAGACCATCGGTAAACAAACATCCGTATCTATGAATGAAACGAATATAGTTAGGCAATAAAATATGAAAATAATACGTCAATACGTACACTTCAACACGCATACAGACGGTTCTTGTCTGTTTTGATACCGGATAAAATCGTAATTTTCTGGCAACAATAGGTGGATCTAACAAAAATGAAAATCATCAATATTATCGTGCATGTATAATAAATTCACATTATAAAATAAAAATTCAAATACCTAATATTCTTATCTCAGCCAAATATGTATTTTGATTGGCTTGAATCCATTCATTACCATCTTTTTGCTTATATTTAATCCAATTTGTTTCACCATCAGTTGTTGTTGTTGTTATATTTGAATATCTTGTATATGCCAATACATAATAATCGGTATATTCTTTTCCTCTTCCATTATCAAAGCGACCTTGTGTTTCAACTTGTGTCAAATAGGTCAAATTACCAAAATCAATTTCTAACCATTCTTTTAAATTTTGATTTGCTTGTGATAATGGACACCATGCACCTCCATACTGTTCTGTACGAATTCTAAAATAAGAAAATTTACATAGTTATGAAGAATATGATTAATGATTATATTCTAATTTTCGTTTTTATCATGCAACATCTCTCATTTATTCAGAAACATAGAAATATTTATCAGATATCTTTAATTTATCGTGACTCAGCTCATTTTGTATGACATTGAACTATATGTAATTTAGATTATGGCCAACGTAAGAGTTAGAGTTCATTCTTCAAACTGAAATCTGATAAGTATGTCATAAAGTAAATAATGGATTATATAAAAAAAAAAATTTGACATCTGAATAATTATTACTATGTAGAATAAAAATTGTAGTACATTTATTGTTTTGTTCATTTTTTTTTTTTTCTTCTAAGATATATATATACTTTCACATTTTCAATTGCTTCTCCTATCTTAATAAAAGATAAATAGAAATTTTATACTGAACACACTTCTAAATTTTTTTCTATCATCTGTCTCTCGTCTTCCATTTTCAATTTGTTCAAATGGGAGAAAAGTTTTAAAAACAAGAACAATAAGAGCTGACTTTTATATGTACACACATAAAACTGAATAGAATCCGTATTATGAATTCCACATATATATATATATTTTCTAAACGTTGAGTAATGACCAAGTGAATGGACACACTATCGATTGAGTGTTCATCATTATTGTTATAAGTACAAGGTTCTTGATAGAGAGAATAAAGAGAAAAAAACAAACTAATAATACACTAATGACCAATTTTCATTCATGCACGCTATTTCAAATGATAATAATAACAATAATAATAATGATGGTTAATATGACAACAACTTATGTACGCTTTTTTTAATGTGTTTTCAAATATTATATAATTTCTCACTAAAGATACTAAAAGAGAACTAATTCAACATGTTTCTCAACTTACCGTGCTGCTTTTGGTCCAACACTTGAACTATCATAACTACTCGATGCTGATAGAGCTGAATCTGGTATAAGACCAGACTGTAGACCTAAACTGGTTTGACATGATGATAATTTTTCTAAAAAAAGAACAAAACAATCCAACAACAATTGAAAACTTTAATCTGTAAAGATAAAAATAAAGCATACTTACTCAATTCAAGTGATTGAACAAAACTGATAAACCACCACCATTCGAATAACAATAAAATAATAGAACTTTTATATGTTAATTTTAATAGAAGAAACATTTTTTAATTTTTAGAATAATATTCAATCATCTAAAATAGATGAAATAATATACTTAATGATTATATGTTCTGGACAAATAATTATAAAAATTAAATTTTAATTGAATATATTTTCAGAAATTAAATGTCATCCTATAGTACGTAGTTCATTAGAGCAATGAGAAAAATTTTTTTTACTAATGAGAAAATGTCATGTTAACGACTGCCGACTATCATCCATTAGTCATATAGATAAAATGAATAGAAGAATATGTGCAGATGAAGTGCATTTACGCCCTGCAGTCGACTTCTTCGACTATATATGTGTGTGTATGTATACTGACCATCTGATTTTTCTGTAACAATAACAAGACACACCAAAAAACACACACATACACATATACATCATTTCAGTTTAGAAGAAAGGTCATATAAGAAAACAATTGGACCACACTGATTATAACTCATACAAAATTTCTTAAGGTGATTTGTTTTGTTCCCTCAACGTGCGATAAAAATCTTCTTTTTTATTTAGATACAGTCTATATTTCAAGACAATATATATGAAAAAGAAAAAAAAAATGATAGTTTGAAATGATAGTGGAAATATAATTAACAAACTTAGAACGTGTGTCTAATGACTTCGAGAAGGTTAAGAGTATATCTAGTCTACAAGGATAAGTAATGATAAAATAGACAAAATTGTTGTTCCAGATTTAACTCACTCATAGAAAAAAAAAATGCTAATGATTTTATTCTCTTACAAATGACCTTAAGTTTTTCTTAACTATGATTGTATGAGTGAATAACAGGTCACTAAGATATATCCTGTATTTTTCTTCATGTTTAGAGTTACTTACAGATTAGGTTTCTAATATCAGTCAGATATTTGTTTTAATGTATGAGGAGTCTTTTTGTATCCACAGTGTCTTCTTGAAAAAAAAAGAAAAAAACTGAACATTTTTCTGCATTAGAACACACAGGAAATCATGTTATGTACAATTGTTTTAATTAAATTTTTCGAAAACGATGCTATGTTATTTGAGATAATACAACAAATACTCATTTTTTTTTTGAAACGATAACAATGAATAATGTTATCATCGTCATTGACTATCATAGAAAATTAACCGATAGAAAGCTTTTAACAAATTGGAAAGTCACGTTTTTCCCATTTATGATCTTACCATGAGTTCTATTTTTCTGTGTACAATTGATTTACATATCTTTCTATGAGAGAAAAAAAAAACTATATATCGATATGGACAAAAATGGGTCTCTCTCTCTCTTTCCGTTCATTAGAACATGCGCGTCCAATTGATGAAACGGATAGTAGTTTTACGAGGAAAAAAAAAAAGAAGAAGCTGATTAAGAAGATGTGTATATGTCAGTTAGGTATTGTTTGCCAAATCAACTGTTGTCACTTTCATATTTCGTTTGATATCTCTCTACTATTTCATCTTGATAACACCACAAAGGTGTTGGATGATTATGATTATCTATCTTATTATAGTCTTTCAATAATTGAAATGTATGCATCTTCATTATTATGATTATTCTATCGACTGTAATCTTCAAACACTATGTATTCGAAACAAAACAAAAAATTTACTCCTTTTTGATCTTTAAAATATAGTTTATTTGATGTTCGAGTTTCAAAAATAAACTTGATGAGAAGCTATTAAGGCAATTCATATACAACGCTCGAATAAGAAAAATAAAGAAGAAAAAACAACAACATATATTACAACTAATCAATCGTGATATATTTTCTAACGAGAAAGAGATAATCATTGGCTTTGATGATAAACACAAGAATGTGAATTTTTGCAGATATGATTGAGAACATTACATACTCACGAAATTTTTATCTTCTATTTTTTAGTGTTTATGTTGTTTTTAAAAACTACGCAAAAGAAAAAATCTTCAAAATAGAAAAACAAACAAATATAGAAGTTGTCTTTCCGACATGTCAAATACTCACAATGTATTGTGAATGTACACTTTTTCTTCATTAGAATGAAAGCGAGTATAAATCTTATTATCTCACATTCCAATCTTAAATTGTCCTCTATAATCAATAAACTAACACAGGTCGAAGAATCCTACAATAGAATTTCATGGGATTTCTCTGAGAAATGGTAGGTGTTTGGTTCATTAGAAAAGATATAGGAATTCTATAACCAGATCGTATCCAATGAAAAGATTCTACGAACATAGAATTCTTGAATAGGAGCTTTCTATTAAGGTCGAAAATTTCTGTAGTAAACTACAAAACTTAATCCGTATTATAACACGTCATTAGACTTTCGATTAAAATCAAATAGAACAATGAAATGCACTTCATATCAATGTTAAATAAAGTAAACGAAAACTTCAAAACAAAAGAAATCACATCAAAATTTTTGTCAATAAAGTTAAAAATAGATCATAATCGAAGTTTGAAATGAGTCAAATATCAAGTTATCATAGTTTCAATATCATACACGCAAATCTGTCCTTAAATCGTTCACAGTATCGTACACACAGATAGAGACTATTTCTATATGCAAACATTAGAAAACCAAACAGTAGAAAAATTGTAATAGATATCAAAATATCTATTTACAATTTTGTACATTTCATTGATGAATTTAACTATAACTATATCATTAAAAATGAAATAGATTTAGATTCACTATAAGAAAATCTTATTACTTACCTTTATTGTTTATTTTTTTTAATCTAAAAATATAAACTTTTTAGATAGCAAATTTTTTATCATCTTACTCTATTTTATTAAAGAAAGATTCTATCATTGATCATTCACACTCGAATAGTGATCATTTTAAAACGTGGCCTATCTATCATATGAATAAAACAAATGTATATGTTGGATCAACTAAAGACAGTTGTTATTAAGTCGACACATTGATTATATACCGTATAGTGAACAAAAAGATCTTTCTTGTTTATTAACAATAAAAGTGAGTCGCACATATTATAGAGTGCATAGAAATGAAAAAAAGAATTTTTAGAATTATCTAGGATATAACAAAAATTGCACAATTTTTTTATTTTAAAATTAATAATCTTTTTTGTTCTTTTTTTCTTGTGATATTCATTAGAACGAGAATATAAATTAGTTCTCTTCGTTGAGCACAAAGATGAATTCTATTCACCTTTTTATTATTTTAATATAGAAACTATCTACTCTGTTTAAAAAAAAAAAAGAAGAGAAGTTTCTAATTGAAAAAATGACATGTTCAGAGAACAATAACCGGATGATGCATTCTATATCTCTTACACACATACACACACACACATCTGACATATTCACATAGAGAATACACGCGCGCCGAGAGTCATTATGTTACATTTACAACACAAAATGTTGAATAATAATAATAATAGTGGTAGAGATTTCTTTCTTCTTTTCTTTTCTTTTTTTTTTTGATAACTCCATTTTCTTCCCTTTTTGTGATGTTGATCGATGAGCTTGAACGAAGTCTCACTCCACTATACTATATTGCATTATTATTTAGTTTTATGTTGTGCAATATTATCTCTTCTTCTTCTTCTTCTTTTCTTCTCTTTTTATTGTTTTTTTATATTATATATTACAAGTATTCATTCAAGTTAGACGAAAGAACATGAAAAGTTAATCTCAGCGCGCACGATGGTGACAATCAATGATGACAAATTCACACACACACACACTATACGGTCATCAGCTTTAAAAAAAGAAGAAAAAAAAAAAATCATCATTTTTTTCTAGTTCAAACCTATCGTCAACTAATTTGTATGACTATATTTGACATGATTTTTAAAATCATGAGGCAAAATGATAGGAAAATGGGGTGTTCTTCTGACCAGACATACAACCATATTCATAGACGAACTAAAATATTCTTTTGAATGTGGATAAATAAACGTTTGTTTAAACTAAACTTATTCTTCAATACTTTAACTTTATCCAGATTTTCTTCTGAACAATTAAGATATAGATGATTTTATTTAATAGTAAAGAGCAACAATACCGAGGTGTTCTTTATGTTAGAAAATAATAATGCATCTAAAAAATGTTTCGATCACTAATAACTAAGAACAAATTATTCAATAATAATAAGAGCAAATATTTATAATAATACAGTGTATGCTAAAGATAAAATGTAAAATTAACACTTTGATCTTAAGTAGTTTGAAGATTATCTTCGATCGTATTATCGTAAAATTCTAAACGTTTTATAAAAATATGTGTCCCCCTCAAACTCAGATATCATTGATGTAGCTAGCTATGCTTTTGAACACTGTCTTTCTTTTAAATATACTCAAATCAAAATATTACACACGTACCTATTTAATGAAACATTCATCATAAAATCTCGACTTTTGATACGCGGAAAAAAAAAACGATTAAAAATAATGTAGACATTTTTCTTTTCAACGTGAATATAATACCTTCTTTTTTATCATTCAATAATTTGAATGTTTAAGATTGTACTCATCCAAAAATAGTCAAACATAGGTTCATTATCTCGACATATCGTCGTTTTTCTTTTCTTTTCTTTTTCTATCAGTTTTTCTTTCTTTTCGTCTTTTATTGGAATTAGCTGTGTTGGTCGATGATAATAATAATTAGAATGTGATGATAATAATCATAGACGTACGAAGAAATGCGAATGATTTCTAAACACAAGCACAATTATAGATTTACACTTTCTTATATGTTCATAACCTTTTTTTCCTGTTTTTTTTTTTTTTTCTATGTTAACAACAACAACTTCTGGTTACGCTAAAATAGACAGGCGTATGTGATTTTGATAACTAGAGTTAGCTGTTGATTAAAACGATTATACAAAATAATGTCTGGGTCGACTTATGTTTAGGATGTAATTGTTCAATATATTACACAAATTGTTTACGAACATAGTAGTTATCAATAACTAACTTACTTGCGCTGACAACATCTTGTCAATTATCAAATATAACAATCAACACACAGACATATAAACAAATGCTTAAAAATAAACATCATATTGTCCATCATCATATAAAGAGAGAGAGAGAGAGAAAGTGTATATTTATATTCTTTAAATTATAATCTATAGAATTTCTTAAATTTTTACAAAATACTAACTTATTCAACAAGTTTTCAAGGTTTTTTTTCAGTTGCTAAATTCAATTGGTTGTTTGTTTTTTTCTATAGTGTATACAGAGCGTTAAATTGTGCATTTCCGGTAGAATTTTTCTTCTCTTCCTTTATAATAATAATAATCAAAGAAGAGCTATGAGAGCATGAGATGATTTTTTCCTTATTGTTATTATTCTACACATCACACACACACACGAGAAGTAAATAAAATTGAACATTTTTTTCGTGTATGAAGGTTCAATTACAAGAAGAAGAAGAAAAAAAAGACTAAT